ATGCTGACCAGCATTGACAATTGGTAACTGAGCACTATGGTGGAATCTGCCCATGTCTAGCCTTTCAACTTGGCTAGTCCTTTCCGGGAGAACAGACACAGCCAGCAGTGGGAAACAACTCTGCCTTGAGTGTTTTTCTAGGAGACGTCTCAAGTGCCCCTCCCTTTCCTAGCCATCTGATCTCAAGCCCCACAGTCAGGGTCTGGTTATCTGTTATCTGTTCCTTCGGTACAGATAATCCAACTGGCTCTCCTGCTTCTACCTTCAGACCTTGGGGCCTCTCCTTTCCCACTCTAGTCCTAGCAGGAGGCGCCTTTCTGCTTATGACTCCAGCTGAGGGATGAGTGTTCCACTAGGCAGATGGCCCAGCCACCCAGGCCAGGAGAGAAAGATGGTATTCAAGCCATCTCATCTGGTGACAGTAGTCTCCATGCCTGCTATGTCCCTCCTACTTTGGAGCAGCTGAGATCATTCACAACTATATCACTTTATGTGGCAACAAAGACAGCAGTGGGCGAATGTCAGACAGAGCCATTGACTTCACCAAACTTGTAGGAATGTGTGCTCTGGGCCAGGCATTGCACTTGAGCCTGGGACCTAGGGGAATAAGATAGGCTTCCCGAGGGTGGCTTTCCAAAGCCTCTCAGTCCATCTAGCAGTACTTGTGCCTCAGTTCTGAGTCAGCTCTGTGGTTTTGCCCCAGCAGACCCTGGCCAGGCCAGAGCTGGCTGAATTCAGCTTGGCCCTCACATCCTGGGGAACTGCTGACCATCTTCCCTCAGATGGTCCCTGCTCTGCTGCCTTTGGTACCAGCTGGGGTGCTGCACAGAAGCCTGAGCTCCCCCACCCCCAACCATGTAATTCCTGGTATTATGTGTTCCTTTCTGGCCCAGGCATGGGGTTACCTCTGAGGAGAGCCTTGGGCTCTCAGGGTAGGTTATTTGCCCACCCCACTGACAGGAGTCTAAGGCAGTTTTAAGTCCCAGCCTTGAGCTCCTCACTCCTAAGGATCCCTGGCCTGACACCTACAGCCAGCAATTTGCAGAATGAAGGAGCTACCCCTCTGAGGCCTGCCTTTCCTGCCAGTCTCTGAAGTGCTGGTGGGTCTCTGGATGGCAGCCTGTGTCTTGGAGGCTATTAAATGAAATCCCAGACAAACTATCCAAATTGTGGTACAGTGTGCGGGTTGCATGAGGATGTGGGGCTTTGTCCATCAGGCACAGGCCTTATTATTGCTACACTCGGGCACCGAGTCAGGTCTGCCTGCCCATCAGAATTCCTGCAGTCTGGAGAAGTGCCACTGGATTCCTCTCTAACAAGGATCTCAGTTAACAGCCAACTGGCCAGAATTCAGCCAATTCCCTTCCTCAAATAATGATTCAACAATCTAATCCTGGCTCCTCTCTGGATGGCTGGTTGACTTTCCTGGAGGACAGGTCACTCTCAAGTTTGACTTCCAATTAAGGAAGTGGAGCTGGAAGCTCTTTTTCATATCATCATCATCATCATCATCATCATCATCATCATCATCATCAACACCACCACCATGTAATTAGTAAACATATTTCTGTGTGGCAGGTACTAGGTGGAGACTTTACGTATTTTTGCTCCCATTTAGTTCTCACAGCAGCCCCACCACAAAGCCCTTATTCCAGTCTTTGAGATGAGGTGGAGCTCTGATAGGTTAAGGAATTTCCCATGGTTACACAGCCAGAAAGTGGATATAGCAGCCTTTCGACCCAGGTCTGTCTGAAATTGAGGCTTGAGTTACTGTCACCATGATATGTTGCCACTATAAAGGCCCCATTTACTAATCACTTACTATGTTATCAAGCCCTGGCTTAGGTACTTTATTTTAGTTAACCCTTCCTATGGCTTTTATGAAATAGTTACTATTATTGCCAATTCATACCTGAAGACGCAAAGGTTAAGACATTTCCCCAAGATCACACTCAGCTAGTGGGAGCCAAGGTCAGGATTGAAACTCTGAGTCCTCATTAGACCACACTTCCATACATGAGAGAAAAGAAGCGATGGCTCAAACATGGCAACTGACTTCACTGTATCTCAACTGTGTACACGAGCATTGCCCACTGGCCCAGCTCAGGACCGTTGAGTAGATGGTCTAACAGGAAGGGCACCCCATGTCTCAAGTATCTGTGACTAGTCACCTAGGTGTACTTTACCTGGGGCTCTGTTTGGGGATCCTCAGTGACAGATGGCTGTTTCTTTGGAATCTAGATCAGCAAGGAATAGGGTTGCAACGATGCAGGCAAATGTTGGGTAAATGGAATTTTTATAGTACCATTTCTGAAGCTTCCATTATCTATTCATTTGTCGAGCAAGTACTATGTTCGGGCCCTGCCTGAAGTATTATATGTTTGGAGAGATGAATGGTCCCTGCTTTCAAAGTGTATGTAATTTAAATGAAGGTGACAGATACATAAAAAATGATCTAGGGGCTGACTTCTGCTTCTGCTACCCATCTGGAGTGTAGTTTTCAGCAGGTGATTTAAACTCTCTGGACTCTAAATCCTCAAAATAAAATTAAACAAGATAGATAATGTATCCATCCACCCTCTCCCCTGCATTTCTTCTCTGCTTCCATCCCTTCTTTCTTTTCTTCTTTCTTTCCTTCATTTCTTCATTCTTGAAGACAATTTATATGTATGTATGTCTTGAAGCCAGGACTAAAAAAAGTAAGCTGCAGAGCCTCCCTGGAGGACTCAGTTGTGGAGGGATCGGCAGACATTTCCAGGCCCACAGCCACTTGCCCAGGGGTGGAAGAGCCAGGACCTGAAGCCCATGGTAGCCTGACTCCATGGTCTCTTCTTTCCCTCTTGCTGAGCCCACTTCCCCCAGCACGGGCTTCTCAGTCCACATGTGCCTTCCTTGAGGCAAGTCCCACGTGCTGGAGCCACAGTGCTGAGAGCCCACCGCAGGTCCCTCAGTGACTTGTGGCACCCAAGAAGCAGACTCAGTAAGTGGCCAGGAGGACATACAGGGGATATGTCCCTGCTGGCATGGAGCAAGTTGGCATGGAAGGGCACCCTCTGAGCAGAACAGCCCCAGGCAGCCAACAAGCTGTCACCCCCATCAGATGCCATATGGGCCCAGAAATGAAAGGCTGAGCAAGTAACATTTTCCTTGGTAGGAATATTATTTTTATCTCTAGTTGATTAAAAGAACTCATGCCAAGGGAAGGCCCACAAGCATACATACAAAATCACACAATTGAATAAAATAGCAGGAAGCTTCCTACCTAGGGACAAAAGCAGCGTTTCTGGCCAAGATAAATGAATAGGTTTTTCCTCACTCTTTCTGCTCCTGGTTTCACTCCTTCACTATCCTTGTAAATGTGGAACTCTCCCTGTCAGGCTCTCCATATTCTCAGGACAGGGTGAAGGGTGTACACTCTAACGTACTTCATCTCTAATGAGGTGACTCTCTGAATGCTGCCACACGTGTGTATTGTGCCTGCCCTATGCTCCTTGCAAGGGGAGGCAGGGGTAGGGGGACACATGTGGGCTCTGAGGGCTGACACTCCTGTGAGGCTACACTCTGGCTCTACTACCTACAGTGCACAGACACGCTTGGTGTCCCCACTTAGGCCTGGGAGGATGGGAGCTGCCTCACAGGGGCCTCTCCTGGCACCTTCAGTCCCTGCTCTGCCCCTTCCCATGAGCCCCTGCAACAAGCATCTGTGTACCCACGGATTCAGCTTGTCATTGATGGTTTCCCAAATCAAGAACTTTAGGCCTTAAGCTCTGTGTGAGCAAGCTCCAGAATTTCTTAAAAATGCAGACACTTCCTCTTGGGTGTCCTATTTTAAAATGCCCCTGCCTTGTCCTTCTGTTCAGGGTAGAAATCATCACCTTGCTCCCAGCCCTGCTCCTGCCCTCAGGTCCATCTTGGTGACAGCACTGCCATCTACTCAGGCACCCAAGCAGGAGACTCCTCTCTCCACCCACTCAGTGATCAAGCCCTGCCGATGTTCCCCGTCTTACCCCTCATTACTTCCTTTAGGGCAAGGACCCTTTGGCACAAAAGTCATTAATGTGGAAGACACATAGTCTGTGCCTGCTGAATTCACCATGTTGACTCTTAGTGAAAGCACATAGGAGGCATCACCATGATGGAAGGCATTCAAAAGAAATTATTATAAATCCCTTCTCTTTGATACCTTATCCTGGTTCACTGTCCTGACATGGGGAGCAGAGGACAGAAAGTCATCTCTTTTGCTGGCGTCTGTGCCCTATCTGGCCTCGGGGGTCTTTGCACCAGCTTTTCATTCTCTCTGAACAACCCCCAGCATGGACAGCTATTTCTCATCCTTGTGAGTTGGTTCTTAAGCCTTGGTCTTGCCCCACCTAGGAGTACTTCCTCTGTGCCCTAGAGTCTCTGGGTGTGTGTTTCTGGCCAAGCACACTGTAAATGTTCCCCTGCTTCCCTTTAAGTCCCCTACTGGACAGTGAGGGACCAAAAGGCAGAGAGTGTGTGTTTCTCATCTCTGTGATCCTAGCAATGGACCTGGCATAGAGTGGACCTCGGTAAGAAACTGTCTCATCAATGGCACAACTGGAAAAAGCAAAACTATGTGGGCACATGGGCTGGGACACAGCAGATACCCTGCCACTCCTAGCCAGCAAAGTCTTCTGAATGTCAGCTCTGAGGACGAACAGTGTCAAAACCCTTTAGGTCGTCAGGAGAACACAGGATCAGAAAGAGCTGACTGTAAAGTGGGTATTGGTCTGAGATTCCCCTTAGAGCTTTGATTTTTCACTCTCTCCATTTTTCACCCAGTGGGGACACAACTGTGCTCATAAAAGTTCTGAGTGCCTTGGACAGCAGTTTATAAAGTGGGTACTTGAGGCCACTGCTCTGCCTTACCTGATGTTCCATGAGGAACTTGGACATTCAGCCTCCTGGCCTCCTCCCACCCAAATGCAGCCCTGGAGGGTATTCAGTTCTCCCTCAGAGCTTGGGCCCCATGGACTCACCCTCCATCGAAGGGGTTCTCCCCGGGGATGATGTGTGTGCTGTCCCTGCCCACAAGAAACTTGATGCGGTCATAGAAGGAGTGCAGGTTCTGCTGGGACACAGGGGACTTTGTCTCTTGGATGATGTCCAGAGGGTCTGGGGAGCCCAGGCACAATGAATTGACATGGCAGAGGGGCTGGAGGCAGCAGTCAGGATCCATGCAGTCCGCCAAGCCATCTGTGGGGACAACAGAGCATGTGGCTTATACAGCTATGTTCTATTAGCCATGTTCATACACAACAGCTTCATCTATTTCATTTTCCACCCATTGAAAACATTATGTGCTCATATGAGCCAAAGCCTTTGCTGGGTACCAAGAAGGTCCAGATCCTTTAGATCTGATCCCAATCCACCAGTATGACAGGACAGACAGACAGACAGACAGACAAATGAGTGTGCAGTGCCTATTTTTTGGTTTTTTTTCTTTTAAAGACATGGCAGGGATGGTATATATGAAGGCCAGAGGTGAGTGTCACATGAACACCTGAACTGCTAAGGTCAGATGCTGATGTTCAGAAGGTGAGGGGAATGGGATGACAGGAGCAGACTTTGTGGGGCCTTATGGTGCAGGCACGGGAGTTTATGTTTATGTTTCACCCTCAGGACAGTGGGCGCCACCAAAGGTTTTAAACAGGGGTGACTTCATTTGATGTGTACTTCAGTTGGAACTGAAGAGAAGCTAGGGTAGAGTGACAGGTGGGGTGGCAAGGGTGAGGGGCATTGAGGATGCACAGGTAAAGAATAAAGGCAGCTTAGACTAGGTAGTAACAGCAGAGACTGAGAGAAGTAGATGGTTTTGAGGGACATATAGGAGAGAAAACTCTAAGGCCTGGTGGCTTGGAGGGTGAGGAGGACGCAGTGTCGTGAGGGCCTATAACTCTAGCATCTCTCCCCACGGTCGGTAGTCACATGGTCTGAGGCACAGTCCCCAAACCTTTGGAGACCCAGCTCTGCCCTCTGTCAGGTGTCATTTTCAGGGAATAATCTGTACTAGCTGGATGGATTTCTTCAGGTCTGAAAATTGTATCAAGCACTACCATCCTTCCAAAGCTCAAAGATATTCCATCAGATCATAGATTTTTGGCCAATTCATCCCAAAGTACTTTTATAGACATCCAATGAACAGCTTAAAACAGGTAAAAAATTGAGCTCAGAGGATAGTGGCCACAGTAGGGGACAGGAAAAGCCAGGGCTGCTGTCTGTGGTCTGTGTGTTTTGTATGCAGAGAACAGTCTGATGACCCGTATTTCTGACTGGGTTCAAATTCCTGGCTTTCCCACTTTTTGCTGTGTGACATAGGACAACTTTCCCCACCACCCTGGTCACAGATCTCTTCTAGTCATCTCTGATGCACCCTTAGCACTTATTAGACATGTTTAAAACATGACTGTTAAATAAGTGAGAAATGAATGAATGAGTTAAATGAAGCAGGGAATGAAACCAAATGCCAGTCCATAAAAGCCAGAAAACCCTATGGTCAGTCAGTCCCATTAAGCAGTGTGGTACAGTGTAAGGATCATGAGGTCCAGAGATTGAAGTTCAAGTCCCAGTAATGCCCCTAAGTTGATCACTGACAAGCTCTTATACTTAATGGCCTGGGTCCTAGTTTCCTCATCAATAACATGGGAGTACGCTAATACACCCGCCTCACTTCTGTCTCCATGGAATTCACAATGTAAGTGCTACCCAGCACAGTGTCCCATATGCATTGGTCAAACTGGCTGGTCTTCACTAGCTGTGTGGCCCAGGAAAGCTACTTAACTGCTCTAAGGCCCAACTTTTCCTGAAATAAATTAAGGACAAAAATCTCTTGTCTTTCCCATTTCTGCATGAGGCCCATACAGTCTGGGACCTGAAACTTACTACTGTGTGACTTGGGGCAAGTCACTTAAACTCTCTGGCCTCTGTTTCCTACATCTCTTACTGGGAGATAATAAAAGCATCATATAAGTTATTTGTTACATAGTAAAAAAGTACAGACATTCCTCATTTAGCGACCGAGTTCTGTCCCTGTGACTAGGTTGTTAAATGAATTGGTCTCTAAATGAGGAATTGTATATAGTATGTACATTTCAGTATTCAGAGCAAAGAAATGGTCAAAGAAAACTGCAATTTTGGCTCGTTATTATTATTATTGTTATTATTTTATTTTTTTGAGACAAGGTCTCACTATGTAGCCCAGGCTGGCCTCGAACTTGCAGTGATTCTTCTGCCTCATCCTCCTGAGTACTGGGATTACAGGCCTGTGGCACCACACCTGACTGATTTTGGCTCGCTAATGAAGGAAGTTCTGCAGGTCACTGCAAGAAACCAATGAAACTAAAATACAATACTACTAATAAGATATCACAGAACCATGAACCTGCTTGACTCTGTAAAAATCACTGGAAATGCCAAATATCTTTGACAGTGAAACTGGCATTAATGAAGCCATTGCTCTGTCCACCTCTGCAGTAAATACCTTGAAGGATAGAAAGACATATGGAATATGTAGCTAGGAAGCTTAGTAACCAGGAGTGTAAGACAAAAATTAAACACAAAAAATAATCACAGAGCCAAGAAACAACAGTGATAATTAAGTGATCAACTGTTTCCTGTGATTCAGAAGTGTGTGTGTATACACACACACACACACATATATCCCTTGAGAAAATATGTGTACCCATATGATATGAGACATTTCTACATATCAAAAAGTTTCAAAGATAACATCACTTCTAAAGAGTTTGTTTATATCTGAGAATTTGCTTAACTCCAATTGAATCAGTTTCATTGTCAACTGAGGAAATGTTGGAAGAAAATAGTCCTTAGATGTGAGTCCGATAAAAAGAGTACACTGCTAAATTTTTCTGGCCCTTTGGCACAGCTATTCTGCCTGCAACATATGTGATCAACAGGTCTCATAAGACCATGCTCTAAATCATCTGTGTCAAAACAGGCAAATCATATATATTTTTGATATTGAGGCAAAACAAGCACCTCATTTTGCCTCAAGATCCAAAAACTGTTAGGTAGCTAATTTTCCCCCAGTATCATCAGACATTATAGAAATAATACATATTTTGAAGACATCTGTCTTTGCATAAATGTTGTGTTTATTTGCAAAACATGCTTAGTGAATCTGCCTAAAATAGGCTACAGGCACTCCTCATTTAATGGCCAAGTCCTGCTCCTGATACCAGGTTGTTAAATGAATTGTTTGCTGAATGAGGAACTGTGTATAGTAGATACATTATAATATTCAGAACAAAGAAATGATCAAAGGAAGCTCCAACTTGATGACTTTGGTTTCATTTGCATAATTTTTACATGCAGTCCTATAATGTATGATGGAAAATAAATCTATAGTACTGTATTATATAATACAATCAGCAAAACTTACAGTACTGTATAAATAACTGTATAAAAAAGACACTGAGGCTCTATCAACGAGATGTACAGAACTGTACAAAAGGACCAGGGGTTTAGTTCAGCGGCACAATGCTTGCCTCACAAGTAGGTCCTGAGTTCGATCTCTGGTACCCCTCCCCCGCAAAAAAGAACTGTACTAAAAGAAACACGGGCTGTAAAGCTGAACAGCACACATTGGTCATAAGTCCAAACAGCCATTAAACACATAGGTTGTTAAACAAGGAATATCTGTATAGTACTATGTCCCCAAATCCAGCACAGTATCTGAAACATAGCAGCTGACACATAATAAATGCTTAATAAGGGGTAGTCTCCCTTCCAGATCTTGAACCTAGAACATGGCTTACCAGTGAAAGGCCTTTCATTCTGAACTCATCTGTCAGGTTCATGCTGAGGTGTGGTGCAAGGCCTCCTTCACCCCAGCATTGTCTGGGTCTTAACCGTAGCTCCTGTCCCAGCCCCAGACACACCTGCCTAGCAAAGCACCTGCCTTCCACAGTTGCAGGCCCCATCATACATTCTGACTCTGCCCCTGTCAGGCATTGCTTAAACACATAATTACAGCCCAAGCGGAGGGTTATTTGCATTCTACTATTGATGTTAGCATGACAGATTCAGCTGCTACATCCATAACTCTGCAGAAATGCTCCATTATTCAATCCCAGTGAGCAGGGACATTGACCGTTAAATCAGCTAGCACAATTGAAGGGCTGTGAAAAGTCATGGCTAATTTGAAATTTTATTAGCTCTTGCCTGTTCTTGTTTACCATCAGAGCAGGCACCTGGGCAGAACTGCTTCCTGTTGAGGATAGACTTGTACTCTCCAGCCCTGGGAAAGGGTAGCCAGGAATGGGGTGGTTATTAGTAACATCTACATTAAATTGATGATAAATCACAGCATGGATTAAGTGCTAGGTATTGTGCTAAATACTTCATAAGGAATATATCATCAAGCCCTCCCAACTCTATGAGGTGGCTGTTGTCATCATCATCCTCATTTTAGAGAGAAAGAAACACAAGGTCAAAGTGACAAAGTAACTTGAAGGTCACACAGTTGGTCACAGAAGAAGCCGATTCAGTTCTTAAGGAATGGAATCTTTGAGCCACCCCGGAGAGACTCTTAGGAACTGTCTCTTTAATGGAGAACATGGATTTATGAATCCCATTGAAAAACAACCCTTCCGTGTTCTCCCAGCAACCTAGGCACTTTCTATCTCAGCACTGCTCCCTCCAGTACTGTAATTTTTATTGTTTTCCTCTCCAGACAATGGGGTCCTGGAGATCCAGTGCTGATTCGTTTCAGTATCCCAGGACCAAGAACAGAATAAGGACTGCCCTCCACAGAGGTCTGAAGAATGAATAAAGGATGGATCCAGGCTAGGGCTGCTTCACTGATCAAAGATCAGAACCACAGGACACAGCTGGAAGGAGCCTTTCCCTCTATGTTCAGTGGCAGAATGCACAGTGGGTAAGGGAGCCTGTCTCCAGCTTAGATTTATGCCCTAATTTCCACGTGAACTGTACATGTTGCTTAACTTCTCCAAACCTGTTTCTTTATATATTTATAATGAGGGACAAAGAAAGATGGTTAATTCCTTAACTCATCACTCTATCCCTACAGCCAGGTGTGAAGTACAAAGCTTCCTTTGGGCATCTTGGGACAATCCGGAGAGCTTTTTGACAACCTGTCTTTAAGTCTGGACCTAGCGTGTATGCATGCTTCATACAGTGGGTGATATGCCATACCACAGGTCCTTTAAGTAGGC